GGTATCTTCCTGCAGACCCCATCACGCCACATCGGGTAAATGGCGACCTCACACATATTGCTCTACCCCCTGAGGACCACTCTTTCTGCTCTGCCCCCCTGAGGATCCCGCACAGGATATCAAGACCCTGCTTGTAGCAACGCGCTTCGAGCTGCGAGCATCTGAGCTGCTGGTGACTGTATCGCTGCCGTGCGGCTTGGATCTTGCTTGGATCGTGTCGCGCTTGCTCGGGTTTCCAAGCTACCGCGCGTAGATCTAGATCTACATCATCATCAAAACATAGTCTAGCAGAGGTAAGGCGTGTGTTCGCGAGACAAGAGGAGTATTTAGTAGTAAAGACCCCTACCCCGTGAATAATTTATGAAAGGTTCGGGGCTTACCCACCATAGTTGGTTGCGGTGGGGGAGAGAGGGTGTGTCTTGGTTCGCGGGGTCCATGTCGTCGATTCAACGGATTTTGCTTTTAGTTCCTACCTGCCCCTCCATGAACCATGAACTGACACTGCACAGCACGCAACGGGCGCAAAACACAAGTAAGCTCTTGGCGGGTTTGGCAGCACCTGGCAGTAGCCCCCGGCGCAGCGCAATAGAATGAGAGTAGATTGGGCCGTGCCACATGCACACACATCCACGAGCCGTGCCCCGATCGAGGCGGCCAACCACAGACCACGTGGAAGGTGTGTGAGAGGATCCCGTGAGAGAGCTGGTAAAAAAAGATCCCGCAAAAACTGAAGCACACGTGTGTTGGATAAACAAAAGAACGGGCCAAAGGAGCTGGGCCAAAGAACGACAGAGAACCGAAAGCTGCCAAGAGCACAGGCCGGCCAAGCTGCGCCACACCCATGCAAACCGCATCAACCGTGATGATAGCACGGCAAGGACGACACCTGCAATTGCTCGCTGGCACAGGGGAGTGGTGACGGGGTCAATACGGACACAGGATCCGGCTCTGTCGTGCCAGCAATACACCCATCATTGCTACTTCAAAAGAAGCTTTGCTTGCCAATTGCTGCTGTCACACATCATGGGAAATCTGCAGGAGGAGCGTGGACACCATGAGGGCGTGGACGCTGATGCTGGCGTGTGTGCTGCCCCTGGTCCTCGCACACGGCACGGAAGACGACCCCATCAACACCCTTGAAGGAGATTGCTGCGCTGCTCTCCTCGTCGAGGGCGAGGAGGGCTCCCTCGATGCCGCCGGCAAATACCGTCTGCCACCCATTTGGTAATTGGCAATACATACCCTCGCTCTCCCAGCAGAACAGACCACCGCTGCATGATGATTGCTTGCTGCTGCTGTAGAGAGCGTTGCTGCGCTCGAAATCTAGCGGCACACACTACTTTCTAGTGCATGACATCGACAGTATCTTCTACACACGTGACTGCCCTCTCTGCCGTCGTTTCCTGCGGATGGATGTCTGTCGTGTCACATGTACGCGCAGCCGTGGAGTGCCTTCCCCCGTGGCCTGCCCACAACTGACGTTCACGAACGACCGCAGCGTGATCGAAGAGCCGGCTTGGCTTCTTGCCTACAAGAGCCAAGCCGACATTCGCCAACACCCCTCCTGCTCGCCCGTGGAATGGGAGCAGAGGTGCCCCCCCGGGGCGACGATGCTGCTCTCTAAGAACAGGGGCGGGTGCCGCGCGGCCGGCTGCGTCGCTGCTGCTGTAGAGGGCGAGCTCGCCGCGCAGCAGTCGATCAACGTGGTGAGTCGAAGAGTGTTCGCAGCAAATTAGTTGTGCTTCCAAATCGTGCAAGTCGTGCGAGATGTTGTATCCTGCGCGCTTGTTTTTAGACCAACAGCAGCATGTCTAGACTGCAGTAGATTTTCAGGGACTCTGTTGGTGTGCACAGAAGAGACTTGCAGATCGCTGCATGCGGACGACACCTGCTCATCATATGTATAGACTACATAGGAGCACAACAAAGGCCTTGTTACCGGTTCGTTTGTCCGGTCAACCCGCTCGAGATGTCCACAGCATCTGCTGGCGGGATGAGGCACGACAGAGACATGCGGAGGATGTTCGCCGATTGCCAGATTCAGCCCAGCAGGCGGGCAATTCTTTTTCACCCGCCAAAACGGTCCGATCGGGAATTAATTCGAACTGATTGCACGTCATCAGTTGGACTGAACGGAAAAGTATGCATCAAGGTTCTCACGACACCCTCAAAACTCTCCGATCAGGCATCCCAAGGTTCTCCCACGACGTGACACGGATAAATTCTTTATTTTCCGCTGCTGCTGTTTGGGTGCAGGGGCAAGATCTCGGGGGGGACACCGCAATCCTCAGGGCGGTCACCGGCCAAGTGACCGCCAGGCTGCAAGCCGAGAAGCCCGACCTTCCTAAGGCATTTTACTGGCACGTCCGGGGGCTCCGGCGTGCTTTCGACAAGGTGGGCGGAAAAACAATGGTAGGGAGAGGATGCCAAAAGAATTGAAAGATTTTTGTTTGTCTCATGATGATGAGAGCGGAGGAAAATCGAGATGAACGACAGGTTTTGTTGTTCAAGTGGGCTCATCAGATGAATTACATAACGACGGTTGCAATCATACTACTGCTGTACATAAATCCGCACTGACCTCGTTCAAAGCAAAAACAGAATTGCGAGACAGCGTGGACCAGACTGCTGAATGTAGGCGTAAAACAGCAGTGTATTTATTCTAAGCCAAACACAAATAGGACGAACGAGTATTCTTCCACGGCCACAAGGTGCAGTGGTATCCATCTATCCACACGGGCAATGATGTAACTCTGCGACTGAAACACTGACTTGCTGCCCTGTATTATTCTGCCACGAATCCTTAGACTGTAGGCTGTAGACGACAAGATGTACCCCGCCCCGTCACCTCGTTTGTAATTTGAAATTTGAAATGTGAAATTTGAAATGTTGTTCTTTCGTTGTCCAGGCCCAGAAGCGGTGGTCGGGCGAAGTCACGCAGGCCATGAAGGCCACCCAAGACATCGACATTGAGCTTCTTCGATCCCTCGTGGAGGTAGCCATGATGAAGGGCTTCCGCGGCGGGAAGCTCGAGGAGGCTATCGCGGCGGTGGCGCAGTACGACCGCCAGCAGGCTGTCGTTGCGATGATGAGGTGAGAGGGCAGTGTCACGTTGTTGTTTTTTTGCCCTTTGTCCGTCTGGTCACTCCTCCGATCATCAAAGTCCACGATTGATCATCAAATCGTGCTGTTTTCCAAGGTCCTCCCCCCCGCCAACGGAGTCAAGGTCGGGAGCAATAGCTAGCTCGGTGGGAGTCATGTACCGTGAGTCTCTGTGCTCGGTGCCATGTGCAGTAGATGTAGCATGCGTGACTGCTGCGGTGTTACCGCGGTGCACGTTCGTGGTGCGCCGTTTGTCCATCATTTCCATCATGGCGGAGGTTACGTAGATCGAGCTGTTTCGTACAACACGTGCGCGTTCCTACGTAGCCGCCGTGTCTGAAGGACCCGCACTGTTTTTTCCAATCCGCCGTCTGGTACTTCCGCATCGATGCCGTTTCCGTTCTTGGAATTTGTTTTCAGGAGCCTTCCCGAACGGCTGATGTCCAAGGCGGCCGAGGTTGCTCGCGACGTCAGGGTAAGCCCTATCTCGTCCATCCACTAGAGTGATGGATTGCTGAGTGCGGTATAGACGTCTCCGGCAGTTCCCATGAGCTGCTATTTTTACAAAGGCAACACAAAAATAGCCTGAGACAACATTTCGCTTCGCGGTACACCCCATCGTGGTTATGTGTGTTACCATGTCACCGCTCGCTGTAGTGTACACTCGGAGTAACGAACGTGGTACCGTGAAACCGTCGTGATGTGTACGTGTCCTTCCTTCAGTGGACGCCACCCCCCACCCCCCCCCAATAGACGACAAACCGTGTTTCACAACAACCGTCGAGAAACCGCAGGCTTTTTTTTTGCGCCAGGCAGTGTGTCGCTCCGTGGAATCACAGGAATATCCATCGCACACACGCTCGCATTCCGGCAGCGTTGTTGCCGCTCTTGTTGCTGTTGCGGTTTCTTGGCGTAGTTGTTGTCGGTGTCTTTACAGTTGCTCCGAAGTTTCTCCTCCACACTCACACGCCCCTTCTTCTTCCATTTCCACCCGCCATGATACGTGGTAACGTGCCGCCAGAGGCGCTCCGACATCCAGCTCAGCCAGATCGCTGGGCTGGAGGAGGAGGTGCTTCTGCTGGCCTCGACCGTAAAGGGGCTGCAGCACTCGGCCGCGATCGACGCCGCCCGCTTGGCGTCGGAGAGGACGGCTGCCAAGGCCGCCAGCGACGACGCTGCTGCGCTCGCTCAAACCCTCCGAGCCGACGTCAAGAGGCTGCAAGACACGGTCGTCAACCTAGAGACCGTTGCCGCTACTGACGCGGCGAAGTTCCTCACGACGGAGGTCGACCTTCGCGCCGAGCTCGTCGCCGCTGACGGCACGATCGACTCCCTCAAGTCCACCGTGCGACAACAGCGCCAAGACCTTGCGTCGTGCCAGCACGACATGGCAGAAGTGGACGAGGCGTCGTTCACCCTCTCCCTCTTGGCGGGAGAGAGCACGCACCTCCTCAGAGGGGGTCTCCAGCCGGCTACCCCCAGGCCTGCGGAGGCCACCACGTGGGCAGCGGCCGGCCTGTCGGCAGCTCACGAGGCGCGTCAACGCACGTGGTGAGCGAGCTCTTCAGCGTGCTAGCGCCCCCACGTAAATTGTGGTAATTTGGCGCGGATCTACGCGGTGTCGGTGGTGCTTGTTGTTTGTGGTTCGTTTGGTTGTTGATGATGAGGTTGGAATTGGCGCTTGGTTCCGATGATTTGTCGACCCCTCTCTCACCGTTGGTGTACAGTAGCAGGGAGTGTTTGATGTCGATGGCTAAAGGTTGTTCGTGTAGCGGGGTACAGGATGAACTTGAAATGTTGAACCGAGGGTGTGCTGGTATTTACGAATTCTTTCCCTATCGAGGAACCATCAAGGCAATCTCGGCTTGCCGCAGGTGGACAGCAACATGTCCACTCGTCAACCTTTACACCACGTTGTGCGATTTGATGCGAAATATGAAATGGCTCTGCCTCTGTTGCGATTGAGTTGCGGCGGCTCTCACTCAAATCCTTGACGGTGTCAACACTCCCGATCCTCCTGATTCGAATAACAGCCAAGCCGTTCATGTTCAAGCCGGCCCGGTCGGTACTCCTATTGTCAAGGTACTCCTATTGCCATTCTTGTTTCAGGGCGTTGCTCCCCGCTGTATCTCACAATGCCCTGACCCCGCAGTGACCGGGCATCAACAGCAGAGCGTGTGCCCATTCTCTCCCTGCTTGTGGTGTGTTGCAGTGCTCGCCTGGATGGAGTCGCGACGACGATCTACTCCTTCTCGGCCAAGCATGAGGAAGAAGAGCGGCAGCGTCAGGCCCTCGAAGAGGAGATGGTGGACCTCCAGAACGAAGTAAGTACCCCGTCTGAGTTTTTTTTAGTGTTTTTGGACGCGTGCTGCTGTCTGCAGTGCAGTGATGTGTAGTGTATGGCCTGAAAGACCGAGAACAACCATCGAAGGGAAGACAGCAACCCTCTTGACCCTCATCGCTCACCCGCTCTCCGCCCTCCCCACACCGCAATCTCGCCACTGCCTTTGTTTTGGCTCGAAATCTGGTCGCCGTTAACCGTGCGCAGGTGGACGAGGCGGAGACGGCTGCCGATTCGTGTGCGGCCAGCCTGGAGAAACTCGACGAGCAGACTGTTGCCGTTCTGACCGCGGTCGAGAAGACCGTTGGCGCTCAGAGGTGGGGCGGGGAAGGGAGCGTCTCCTCCGCGGCAACCTACGACAAGATCCGGTACGTCCTCGTCGTTGTTTCCGGTTGACCTCAAGGGGGGGGGGCACGTGATGGGGCAATAGTGTCGGTTTGGCAGTGACTACCGTTGGTGTCGTTGTGCTTGGCGATGGTTGCTCGTGAAAGCGTTGTTGCTGCTGTCACTAGCCAGTTGTTTCTGTAGTTTGTGCGGGCGGACCCGTGCAGTCTCGACGACCTGTTTGGTAACATGGGAGCCATTTGGGGAGATATGTTCACCCAGGATTGAAGTCCTGATCGTTGTGGAGCGTCCCGCTCGCGCCGTGTGTTGCTTGGTCCCGACAACTTTCGACAGTTGCTAGCCGCAATTTTCATGGTCGGGCCTAGGTGTTTGCACGACCAAACGAACCCTGGACACCCCCTGCCGCCCTCTGTCTTGAAATGAGGCGAGAGGCTAGAGGAGGGGCGACAGAAGCAAGCAGTAGCCGTGGCCCTCCCCTTCACCCTCCGCTCCCTCGTCTCGGCTGCTTCGATGCTCTTCATTTAGCACTCGCTTGGGGGAGATCGGAGACGTGGCGCTGTCCTTCACCAGGCAGCTGCTGGACGACCTCTCCGGCTGCCGGCAACAGGTCGTAGAAGTGGAGGAGAGGGCGATGGACCGCCTGGAGGAGACGATGGCCTCTGAGGAAGAGGTATGCATCAGATGCACCTGCCTGAGCGTGACGCCAAGGGTACTGTACCGTGTGTCACTCTATTGCTGGTATCAGGGTGATCAATCACGGGGCCCGACTATTCCGATCAATAGTCTACATACATGCACAGCAGCGCTTCATGTGTTCAAGCATGCCTTGAGCGGTCGCAACATCATCGCCGGGAGAGATCCAGCGGTGAGTTTGTACACAGAAGGGGGGTGGGGGAAAGTGATGCTCGATGTCACCCTTTGGCATCGAACGAAATAGGCAGTGGATCATGGATCATGCGTTGGGAATGGGGGGAGGGGGGGGTACATACACGCTTGTCGAACCTGTTGGTATTGGGGTGCATGGGCAGCCCACCGTCCGTGGATAGATAGCACAGCCCGACCCCCGGAGAGCCAGTCATGAAGAGAGCGACTCTGTAACCCCCGTCTACAAGCCGTCGGCCCCTACCGCTGTGTCTCGTTGGTTGTTTTTGTGCGACTCTCACTTGTAACAGGCTCGCGAGACCCAAGCGGCGTTTCGGGCGTGCGCAGCGGGGCTCGAGCGACTGGATTCCCAGTCGCTAGACCTCGCCCGCTTCTTGGCCGACAAGGCCATGCAAGCGGGAGCACCGGTGTCCATTGCGAATGCAGTGGAGGCACCCAAGCCGCCGGGGTACGGCTTGCTGGACTCCTTATTCCGCCCACGGGGTGTCAGCGATGATGCCATGGTGAAGATAGTCCCGTCGCGAGTCGGGTAAGCATTCTTATGCGTTGTTGGATGCAAGGGGAGAGTGCATGCCAGATTTTGTCGGGGTCGAAGCGATGACTGCCTTGTCGTCCTTGAGTTTGGTTGCCGTAGCTAGGGCTTGTGTCTGCCAAGAGCTTTCAAGCTCGTAACACTTACCATGATGGAGAGCTACTACTTGTGTGCATCGTTGTTGTTTCTGTTGTTGCTGTTCCCTGCTGCGGTTGATCCTGTTATGCTTGGCCTCTCTCACAATTGCTGTTGATTCTGGAAGCTCTGATGCTTGCAGGCTTGCCCCGTTGCTTCCGCTGTCTCCGTCATACCTATCTAGTCCTATGGCTGGCACGACAAGGTTGTTACCGTAAATGACACAAGATAACACACCCCCTGGACCGATTTTCAAATCTCGATTTCTCAACAGCAGAAAGAGTAATGGCGCCGAAAACGGCGGCGTTGGAACCATCTCGTCGAGAGCTTTCCAAAAATGTATCGTTTCGTTTGTGCATCTTCTTCGTCGTGGAGTAATCGAGCTTTGAAAATTGGTCCGGGGGGTGTGTTATCTTGTGTCATATACGGTATGCTCGGTCGAGCCTGGTGGTGATACAGAAACAAAGCAAACTATTATTGTTGCCAACACCGCTACGATTGACCGTTAGAGTAAAGGGTAGCAAGTGCTACACGACACTAGAACTAACATGCGCCCAATCTGTTCCCCCCGTCCGACACATGAATGCATGTTGTAGCGCCCGGTTCAACGGGGTTCGAGACATGACCGCTGCCATCATGTCCAAGTTCGACGCGGACATGGCTGCGTGCAGGGACCGGACGGCAGACGGCTGCAACGGCACGGTGAGTTGGTTCAACGGCAGGCATGTATCGTGAAGCAAGGCGTTGAACACATAACAAGAAAGTACGAACACACCACGGTAAACAGCAAGGGTTTGAAAAACGCTTCCGTTCCCCAGCACTCCCGTCCCATAGTCAAATGCTTATGGCCAGCGAAATACAGCATTCTACGAGTACAATATCCCTACCTCTCCTTGGTACTCTCACCGACTATTTCACCACGATTGGCCTGTGCGTTGTCTTTCTTTCGCTCAACAGGGGCCAGCAAAACAGGGCAGCAGCACCGACAGCGACACCGACACCGACACCGACACCGGCAGCGATGGCGCCATCACTGACATGGACGTCGCCGAGGACGACAAGTCCATCGGTGGCGACACCGTTGCTGAGGAAGCCGAGTCCGTCCAACCGATCGACGACGGCAACGACCCACCGAAGCTGGTGGAGCCGTAACATGTCTTTCTTGTGGACGGCGTGGGATTATTTCGATGCCTGCCCTCGTTTCGGCGATACATGGTCGTGGCAGCAATTTCGCCTGTTTTCAAGCGTGATGTGAGCACTGTGCTGGCCCTTGGTGCTCGTGGTGTCTCTGTCTTTCGGCTGTCTAGGCGTTTGTGGCGGTGTTGGTGTCTCGTCGGTTCTGTTTGGTCCTTTTGGGTTGGCGTTTTCTGGGTGTGGCAGGCAAGATGTTGTCGGGATTCAAAGTTGGTTGTGCCTTGGGTGAGGTTGGTCCATTTTGGAGGCAGACAGACGCGGTCGCTTGCCCTCGGTGGTTGAGCTGGTGCAGTTGGGGCGTTCATTTCCCCCGCTGTAGCATAGCAGCTTCGTTCTTCCACAGTGCGTGTGACGAGTTTTTTTTTTTTCCGGGCGGTCTTGGGGAATAAACCCTTGTCGTTTGTCGAACCAAGGACTTGCCAAGGGTGCAAAAAAAACACTTTTCTTGTACGCCTAGGCACCCATTTTCTTATTTTCGATATTGTCGGGGAGGGGGCGGGTGCAGATAGTCTGCAGTTCCTATATAAGGCGTCGGGGCCCCGCGGGGGGAACCCTGTTTTCGTTGAGGTACCCTTTGCGCGAGCTAGGATGCTCCCTTGCTTATCCGCAAGCATGAAAACTCAAAACGGGTACGACGTGGCACATCAACACAGTACCTGATCCGCTCAAGATATGTGTGAAACGTCGTAACTAGTTAGCGCACACGATGTGTCCCCACTTGTATGCATAGCTTGCGTAGAGTGGGGCTCGAAGCCCCGAGAGGGTCAAGTATTCGAAAACGTTTTTTCTTCCCTCCCGGGGGGAGGCGGGGGAGGGGAGCATCTAGGTTTGCGAGATGGCATTTTGCTTGGCATTTTTACCCTTGGCCGAAGCTATTGGTGGCGTGGATTGGTTCTAAGAGATGAGCTTGACGATGTACATCGAACAAAGCCAAGTGACCTTATGTGCTGATGCCCTGTCGGACTGACTTTCCGCCGAACCTGGAGCCGCACCGCATTTTTCTGCGGTGTGTTGATCCACAACTGAAGCAGTAAACACGTCCTGACATTTGAGCTCGTATTTAAGCGTCTGTCTCTTGGGACCTTCTTGGTCATGATATAGCGCCTCGTGTGGCCTTGGGCACACCTTTTCAAGTACACCGCAGGAAACAGGTCTAGAGGTAGGCTTGGCCTTCTGCCTTGTAGTGCGTTATCTTGGTTGCCGTCCACCATGCATGGGAGGCTGGTTTTACCATGCCCTACCTACAGTAGTGGAACCGCATCGGGATTTCGTACATTCTTGATGTTGTTCCACTCGAGCTCGAGAAGAATGTAGTCCTCGTGTGCATTTGTGCAAGAGGAACTAAAGAGTCATCCGGAACACCTACTTGAGGGAAACCCGGCCGGGCCGAAAAACGTTTCGAATATTTTCTTTTCTTTGGGGCTTGAGCCCGCTCCACGCAAGCCGTAAGTGGAGGAGACATTGTATGTGCCAACTAGTTACGGTGTTTCGTGAATATTTAGAGCGGGTTGGGTGCTCTGTTGACGTGCTACGTCGTACCCGTTGTGTGTTGTCATGCTTGCGGGTTCGCAAGAGAGGATCCTGGTTCGCGCAAAGGGTACCTCAACGAAAACAGGGTTCCCCACGCGGGACCCCTATGCTTTATGTCGGAACTAGACTACCGGCATCCTCACTCCCTCTAAGATATCAAAAATATAGAAAATTGATACTTAGACTAGTAGATGTGTTGCAGGGATATGATATCGGTGTACCCTTGGGTGCGGGACGTTCGTTGTCTTGGCTAGTCTTGGTGTGTTACATTTCTCGTCAACGCTATATTTGGTGGTGGTGTCATTCGGGGCCGAGTGCTGGATTTGAGAATGAGGCCATGCCCTCCCGCCACCTTCTCCGTTTACGGGATGAGCTTTTGCGGTCGATCGATGTAGTCTGCGCGACGTGTGCTGCATTCGCTTCATGTATCAGCCCGGGGTTTGACAGGGTGTGTCGTTTTTTTACTTGGTGCTCCACCCTTGTGCTGCGTGCGGGGGACTTACCCCTTTGGTGCTGTGGCGATAAGCGTTTAGCTGGTCGTCTCCACTACCAATCGGGACATCAAAGAGTGCGTGACTCACGAATTGATGCGTTTTCACCGCTACCCGCAAAGACGAAGGAGATGTTTCACTCCAGCGAGAGTGAATCGAATCTTGAAATGCATCAACAATATTTGAGGATGTCCACCATTTGAGGATGTCGACCAGCCAAGCAAGGCGTTGATCGACTAAACTCGGGAATGGGTGCAATATGAGGTACGAAGACCCGAGGTATCCACAACACCAACAGCAGAACGTACTTCGCAGCTGGGGTGGGAGTTTTACCCACGCGAGTTTGCTTCTTTCAAAAATTCGTCGACAACACCTGGTCGTGGAAAGTGAAATGTTGTTCAGAGTACCTGAGGTCGGAACGGCTGGACCCTTCTCGAGTCCTGCAGAATGGAACTGCAGAGGGGAAGAGAGACAAGCGCCGCAGAGCAGTTTCTGTGTTCCTGTTGCGTGACCCCGGTTGTGATGGTCTGATAAGAGGACATGGGTGGCACTTCCCATGTTAGATATACTCGCAGCAGTATCTGGTCGTGAGGATCCCAGGGGATGCGTGTTGGAAATTTCGTGTGTAGTAGGGTACCACCGGTGCAGTCACGGGGATCCTTTTGGCGTGGTTGGTGCGATGGAGCTTGCGTGCGTGCTGCGCACTTCTTCCCTCTCTCTCTCCACCACCACCATCGTCTCTCTCCAATCAAGTTTCCTTCTCCCACTCTCTCTCCCACTCTCTCTCAACCTCTCTCTCTCGGTCCAACACGGCCGACTACCCAGTGCCCCAAGTAACGTCCAGAACGTGCTTGCTGCACCCCGCGTAGTTTACCTTTCACACTAGTGCGATATCACGGTATCTGCGCGCGGGCGTAGCCTTCCGGGGGTTGTGCAGACACGCGCAATCGGTAGACTCCCACAACAACATACACCATGGAGGGCATCGACCTCTCCGCCCTTAGCGAGGAAGAGGTACAGCAAGAAGTGGAGGAGATCGTCCAGCAACGAGTGCAAGCCGAACTCGAAGCCAACAGGATAAACGAGGGTGAAGTCACCTACGCCCCACCACCTGCCGGCAACCCGGTCCCACCTACCGGCAGCCAGCCATCACCCTCCAGCCAGGGTAAAACACCTTCCTTCAACGACCCCAGCAGCGTCGCACACATCGTGGCGCAAGCGGCCAAGGCGACAGCTGAGGCCATCGCTGAACAACAGGGCTTTGCCCGCTCAGGCACGTTACGTGTAAATCCAGGCTCAGAAATCGAACCTTGGCTTGGTAGTGTGAAGAAGGAGCAGGATCTGTACATTATGTTTGATATTTTTCGTGGTAAGATGATTTCATATTTTCAGGAGGAGGGTGTGCACGATGCGTTGGAACTGGAGGTTGAGGTCAAGGTCGGGAAGAGAGGTGTGAATGTAGGAGACCTTCGGAGACTTTTTGGTAATGAAGTGGTAGACAAATCTTTCAAATTGTGGAATATCCTTATCAGCAAGGTTTTGTATCCCCCGATTCAGAGCTTGATTCTGGCGTGTGAGAGTCCTCAAAAAGGCTGGAAAATAGTGACAGAGTTCTACCAGGAGAAAAAGCAGTCAGAAAAGTCGAGGTTGGAGCAGGACTGGAAGCAGTTGGAGATGAAAGAGTCCGAGAGTCCACAGGATTACATTGCCCGCTCAGAGGCCCTTCGCCTGCGTCTCGCATCTGTAGGCACGATTAAGGATGAAACAGATGCCAACAAAGACATTGCTCGTGGCCTTCCCTCTTCGTTGTATGCCGTGCAAAAAGGAATACTGCTTGCCCATGATGTCCTGACGTTGCGTACCCTTGAGACTGTGGTGAGGGACGCCCACGTGGAGATGGAGCGCGAGAGGAGCAAGGGGGAGAGGCGCGAGGTGGAGCTCGCTCTCGCCGCGTCCGGCATGGGCCGGCGCGGCGGGGGCAGTGGGGGGGCATCCGGGGGTCAAGACGGGGGTCACGCAGCAGCTGGCGGCCAAAATCGTGACGGAGAGAAGAAAAATAGTGACATGTTCAACGACGAACCCGGCGGATTTTGCCGCTACCACCAGTCCGAGCTTCACACCAACGAGCAGTGTCGTCTCCAGCAGCAACTGCGGCGCGCGCGTTCGATAGAGGGCGCCAAGGAACGCCGCTCGGGCGGTGGCAGCCGCGGTGGCGGCGGTAGCCAGCGAGGAGGTAGACCGCCGCCGGGGCCCGGCCGCGGTGGCGGGCGATGGGTGAGGATAGAAGGGCAGCAGCACCACACCGGTCATGGTGGCGGTGGCTGGAGCCAAGCCTCACCCCCCCCGAGGCCTCTTCGTGGACGTGGGCCTGGTGGTCGTCTGGGGCGTCACCCGGGGGGTCGTGGGCCCGCGGGACGC